AAAGTATTTCAGGATCCTCGCCGGTGCTACAGAGCATGTGCACTGTGTTAAGCTTCTTCGGACTCAGACTTGAGTTAGAGACACGCGTGTCAGGGGAAGAGACACTAGGGTCATGGGAAAAGACATGTGAATATAAGAAAACTATACACGATTCGGGGGAAGAGGCATGCAAGTCATGCGAAAAGACACGCAAGCCAGGGGAAGACAGACGCAACACAGAGAAGAGACATGCACGCCAGGGGAAAATGCATGCAAGTCAAAGGTAGCGACACGTCAGTCAGGGAAAGAGACACGTAAGTCAGGGGAAGAAACACAACTCGGGGGAAGAGACATGTGAGTATGAGAAAGAGATACAAGATTCCGAGGAAGAGACACGTCAGTCAGGGGAAGAGACACGCCAGTCAGGGAAAGAGACATGTCAGTATGGGAAGGAGATACAAGATTCGGAGGAAGAGACACGACAATCAGGGGAACAGACACACCAGTCAGGGGAAGAAACACAACTCAGGGGAAGAGAGATGTGAGTATGCGAAAGAGATACACGATCTGGAGGAAAAGACACGCCAGTCAGGGGAAGAGACATGCCAGTCAGGGAAAGAGATATTCGAGTCAGGGGAAGAAATACGCCTGACACAAGTCAGGGGGAGAGACAGGCCAGTCAGGGGAAGAGATACTCCAGTCAGGGGAAGAGACATGTGAGTTTGAGAAAGAGATACAAGATTAGGCGGAAGAGACACGAAAGTCAGGGGAAGATACACGCCAGTTAGGGGAAAAGATACTACAGTCAGGGGAAGAAATACGCCTGACACAAGTCAGGGGGAGAGACACACGGGTCAGGGGAGGAGACGCACAAGTTACATGAAGCGACACATACGTGAGGTAAATAGATATACGAGGCCGGTGGAAGCAAGAGACACGAGTCTGGTCCAGACCAGCAGCAACAACTGACCTTGAGTAGATCCGGCAAGGCTCTCTGTAGGCTGGCCCCTCGTACCGCTCGGAACATCTCCTCGATCATCCCCGGTCTGTCCTTGACGTAGGCACTGATCGGTTTCAGGTCTTTCTTCAGGTCCAGGTCAGAATCTTCGTCCTCTGGAAGGGCAACTCTTTTGCCTGTCTGCAGACAGACCAAAGGCGACACATCAGTATGCCCTAAATGTGTCTCTATGTGTGCGCGTGTATGTGTGTGTGTGTGTCACGTGTCTGTTTGAAAGTGCATGTGCGCCCAAGTGTATCAATTTCATCAATTTAACTCATTCATTACTAAGCAATTCACCAAGCGTATATTCGTAACTGAGTAAAAAATACTTCTTCCTCAATCGCTGTGTTCCATCTACAGTAGTCCTTAGATTTATCCACCGTTTTCCCAATGTTATTTGAACTCTTTCGGACCATTACGTTTATTGTTAAATTAGGTTGCTCTTCTTCTTAGTCTTAGTCTTCTTCTACTTCTTCTTCTTCTTCGTTTTCTACTCCTTCTTCTCTTCTTCTTCTTTTACTGCTTTTTCTTCTTCTTCTCTTCTTCTTCTTCTTCTTCATCCTATGAATATAATTCGTGTCATTATCATATATCTACACAAATGGCGAACGAACGAGTTTAATTTTATCATTCGCCGTTGAACCATTATAAAGAGAATAGAAAAAAAAATGAAGAAAGGAAAAACAGAACAAAAACAAAGCAGGCAGAAAGACATAAAAAAGGATAATATAAGGAAACAATGAAAGAAAGAAAGAAAGAAAGAAAGAAAGAAAGAAAGAAAGAAAGAAAGAAAGAAAGAAAGAAAGAAAGAAAGAAAGAAAGAAAGAAAGAAAGAAAGAAAGAAAGAAAGAAAGAAAGAAAGAAAGAAAGAAAGAAAGAAAGAAAGAAAGAAAGAAAGAAAGAAAGAAAGAAAGAAATGTGACCCGGTGTTAGATCACTTGTAACCGCCAAGTTGAAGTGCCCCCCTGACATTTCCAACATGCAAGCAGTAGACAGGGCCGCACAATTCCACAGCGACAACTGATACACATCACACAGAAGCCTGGCTACATTCTTCAAAGAGCCGAATATGTTTTAACTGGTTGATGAAATGAAGGTCAGCACGCAAGAGAAGTTCTCTATGCGTCATATGAAGATTTAACGAGGCAGAGGAGGAAGAGGTGGGATGTGGGAGGACCGTGAAGTGAATATGAACTTGTCATCTTTACAGTCCGTTCCAAAAGTTGTGCAGAACTTTACAAATCTGTATATTGGTAACGGTTTAGTGCTAGTTTTTGTTTTTGCTTTGTGGGTGCATCATCATCGTCATAAAACATTGCTGCCGTTAAGCGTCATGGAGAGAAATAATTTACGATCCAGTGCATGCTGGCTGCCACTGGCTATTGTCATGATGTGAAAGTGTTGAGTGTCTTTTATGTTGTCGATCCATTAGTTCGCGGCCGTCCTCTTGTAGCTGATCTTCTGAGATCTAGTGCTTGTGACAGTATCTGATCTTAATGCATTCTAACGAGGTGACCAAACCAATTGATCTGCTTTTCCTCGATGAATCTAGTACAAGGTTCCCACAATCTGTCTGATAGTATCATTGTTCGCTTAAACTCAGACTGTAAGCTTGGCAGCTTTCTTTACTTTCTTTCTTTTTCTCTTACTTGCAGTAAATTAAAAAAAAAACACACACACACACACGCACGCACACACGCACACACACACACACACACACACATACATACCGATCAAAGCAATCAATCAGCATGCTTACAGTTAACTGAGTAACTACAATTTTTCAAAACATAAAATTGCACGCGTTTCATGGGCGTTTCAGTGTCAGGTGGTCATCTCCACCATAAGCCTCTTGTGACTTGCATGACCACACAATTTTACTGTATGCGGGATAGGCTATTACAATAATGACTATGCATGACTTATTTTCCTGTTGAAATATGAAGGTTGAGAACCACTGGTCTTTGTGTTCCCATAACTGTTCTACGAAACTTCATCTTAGCAACCACATGCATCCTTTATTCGAGAGCTAATCAACAACGTTTTCTCAGGTGAGAAAATGTTGATCACTGGTGATCGTTGCGAATCAGAGGCCTGAGCCCCAGCAAGGAAAGACGACTCTTTCGGCAATGATCCGGGAACCACTTGCTAACCCTCTCGGGATCCAGATTCGGCCCGCCGGCCTCCACCTGACCAGCCCTGTCACAACTGCTTTAAAGGCAAGGTGAAGACAAGCAGAAGAAATCTGGATGGCTTGGGCTGGACAAGACCTGTGACCTGACCAGTGGTTCTGGTGATTGTGTGAGGTAGCGCACCCTAACCGCCCTCCATGTATGACACAGCGCGTGATTATGATGATTACATACCTAAAATGTCTTTCCAGACATGCATAGAACTAAAAAGCCTGGTATAAGACAGCAGACTATGGAATGGAAAGATAACTACACGACCAGCCCATAGGTTGACATCGTTTATGATAATGATGACGACAACGAGGAGGAACTACCTTTTTTGTATATCCAGAAACCAAGAGTTCTTAACCTTTGGCTCGGTACTATGGATATCGCAACCTTTCGGCCTTGCTTCCATGAGTTCTAAAACCCTTTGGCTCGGTACTATGGATATCGCAACCTTTCAGCCTTGATTCCATGAGTTCTTAACCCTTTGGCTCAGTACTATGGATATCGCAACCCTTTTGCCTTGATTCCATGATAGGTACCGTAAATCTGGGAGAAATGTGGCTTTTCTGCCTACCCCCGGGAGTGAACCCGGACCACAAGGAGTTCGTCAATCGGTTACAGCGATGTCAGGTTTAACCAACTACGCTAGAAAGCCGGACAGGAACTCCTCCTCGAACTCCCCATTTCAACCCTCTTCCACTTTCTGCGATCAACTCCATCTGTAAACACACCACCCTCACGGCTGCACATAAAGGATGCTGGGAAGAAGGCAACCAACTGGCTATAAATGTACAACGATCAAGCCTGGAATAGGTCGCGACTCTGCTTCGACCCATGGAGGCCTGTAACAGATGGCGGCTTTTGGAAGACGACTCATCACCGAAAAGGTCATGACCGTGTATCCATTTTTTTAAATAAAAATATAACATTTATATACCAAAAAGGAATTGGATTGCCAACACGTAGAATCTCCTCTAGGCACTATCTGATATACAATAACTCGCATTATTTTAAAATTATATATATATATATATATATATATATATATATATATATATATATATATATATATATATATATATATATATATATATATATATATATATATATATATATATATATATATATATATATGAGTGTGTATATATATGTGTGTGCATGTATGTATTATGTATTTTGGTATGCATTGTTGTATTTACGAATGTATGGATGGATGGATGGATGGATGGATGGATAGACGGATGGCATATGTGCGTGTAAATGAGCGAGTGTGTGGGTGGGTGGTTGTATGTATGTGAGTGTGTGTATGCGCGCGGGCGAGTGCGCACATGCTTTTGTGGGTTTTCTCCTTGATATTCACAATATGCGTATTACTGAATGAAGACAAGATGTTTTATCGATGAAACACAACTGCTGTGTGAAATGCGGATGTTTCGAAGGGCCGAATGTAATACGAGCCTGCGTGCCCAATTTTTTAATCTCTGGGGGGGGGGGGAAGTTAATTCGCTGCTTCCCCTCTAAGCGTTCCCAGCTGTAAATATCAGAGGAACGCTCTGGTTGTTCGTCCATTACTGGACTTTGCTTCTGTTCCAGAACTTGAGATTTGTGTGCATTTTTGTTTCACAGAGAGTCCGTCAACGTCACTACATCCAGAATGAGAATGGAGGTGGAGGCAGCAACGGCAGCTTTCCGATGACTTCAGAGCAGCACAGCCAGACATGTGACTGTAACAGACCCAGAGCATGCTATGGTAAACTGAAACTGGTGTCACTGCGTGCAGAGTGGCTTGCATCACTTGAGACTTTGATCAGAAGCATATCGTGGATGTCCTTTACAAGCTATTGAGGTGTGCGACGTAATGAACAGACTGATAGATCAGCTGCTGTCGCTACTCTGGACGGTGAGCTACTTTTTAATAACTTAACGAAGGCTCTATGGGATCAAATGGACAGTGCAATGGAACAGACAGAGAACCCAACAACACAGCAAGTCTAATTCATCGAGGGATGTGTAGAGGCTCTGGGAGATATCCAACACTGAGGGCGAAACAAAAGCGGACTTTTATTTAGCCTGCAACTTGGACTATTAGCATGACGACTCTCCGTTGGCTCCTGAAGGAGACAAAGCACGTATGGGGATTTCCCGAGTGCTGCGATGTCTATTCTTGATTCATTCATTCATTTAAGTGTTTTACAGATCTGGCTTATTTGTACTCTGGCTTCCTCACCTATCAGGCAGATACACCCAGGCTTCCAAACAAACACCACTGATTAGTCGCCTTTTATGACATGATTGCATGGGGTTGCAGTGGGTCTATTTAACCCTCAAAATATGATCCTGGGACCCAGACGGGGGAAGGGAAACAAGGCAGCTGAGGCCTAATATATCAAAGGGCCCGAAAACTGAAATCATAAAGTATCTTTTTTTTGGTGGACCTATGTTGATGTGTACTATATAAAGTGCGTTTTGAGGATTATATGTTGCGTGACCCTATTTGGGGAAAAGGTGGGTGGGGGTGGGGGGGGGGGAAGCACTTTTGTCCCTTAACAAACAAGTTATTTAAGCCAATTAATTAGGGATTCTGTTATGTGTGTGCTCAGACTATGTTGTATGTGTGCTTCGACTGTTTTATATGTGTGCTCGGAATACATCATGTATGTGCTCGGACTATCTTATAAGTGGCTTCAGACTATGTTATACGTGTGCTCGGAACAGGTCATGTATGTGCTCAGACTATCTTATATGTGGATTAAGACTGCTATATGTGGATTCGGACTATGCTCTACGTGTGCTCGTACTATGTCATGACTGTGCTCGGACTAGGCTATATATGTGTGCTCCGAATACATTATGTTCGTGCTCGGACTATCTTATATTTGGATTCGTACTATGATATACATGTGCTCGGAACACGTCATGTATGTTCTCGGACTGTGTATTCGGACTATGCTATACGTGTGCTCGTACTAAGTCATGACTGTGCTCGGACTAGGTTATATGTGTGCTTCAACTATGTTATATGTGTGCTCGGAACACGTCATGTATGTGCTCGGACTATCTTATGTATGGATCTGGACTGCGTTAAACGTGTGCTCGGACTATCGTATATGTGGATCCGGATTATGCTATACATATGCTCGGACTGCGTCATGTTTGTGCTTGCACTATCTTATATGTGGGTTCAGACTATGTTATACATAATCTCGGACTACGTCATGTTTGTGCTCCGACTATCTTATATGTTGGTTCAGACTATGTTATACCTGTGCTCGGACTATGGTATATGTGGATCCGGATTATGTTATACATATGCTCGGACTGCGTCATGTTTGTACTTTGACTATCTTTTATGTGGGTTCAGACTATGTTATACGTGTGCTCGGACTAATGTATATGTGGATCCGGATTATGTCATACATATGCTCGGACTAGGTCATGTTTATGCTTGGACTATCTTATTTGTGGGTTCAGACTATGTTATAGTGTGCTCGGACTACGTCATGTTTGTGCTCCAACTAGGTTATATGTGTGTTGGGATGGTAATGTGGGTGCACTCACTTTTTTCATTTTCTTTTTTCTCTTCTTGCCGTCTAGCGCGTCTGCCAGCTCGGACTGAGTGGAGTCTGCGACCATTTTAGCCGCACTCATTCTCGAGGCGTTGGGGCCGAGTGGTCAGCCAAAGGGTGTTGCTGGAATAACTGGAAGAGAAAAAAAAAATGGATGGAAATCATATGCAAATTAGAAAGTTGAAATTGATATATACATATGAAAAGGGATGCAAACAATTCTTCTCCACCCCCCCCCCCCCACGCCCCCCACCCCAATCCTTAAAGGGTTTAGGTAACCCACACAAGGAGTGTGATATAAGAGTAACAGGAAGGGCTACTATCTTTGGGCTTACCTATAAATTATTTAAAAATTAAAGCCAAAAAGATCTACTTTATTGCGCCACGTTTTATCCCAAAGGACTCGATCTTTCTGCGCACAACGGTCAGTGACCGCCGAGAGTGTCACACAAAGCACGAACTCCTGATATCCGGCGACGAATATCCTGGGATGTTCATAAAAATTGCACCTGTGAACCGAATGATGCAGCTGTGAACCGAGCCCACGACCTTGAGGGGTGAGGTAGACGGCTTACCCACTTCGCCAAGGAAAACCACAGGATTATCTAAAACTATGGCAAGTTGGGCCCCACATAAAGATTTACAGTAAAACGTAGGATAAAGCACACTTGTTACACTCTGATGAGTCGGGCTAGACTTGTATATATATATATATATATATATATATATATATATATATATATATATATATATATATATATATATATATATTCATAGACCAGTCGGCATTTGATGGGAAATGTCAACTAAACTCGGGCTGCTTTTACTTTCCAAGATATTACCTGGTGCCCGTTTTAGGCTAAGCCGTCTTGGGAGTCAAAGTCAATTTTGAAAAAGAAAACAAAATTTTGTCACCACGTGGTTTTGAACCTAAGATATTCAAGGCCATAGGCGAGCTTCTTAGCCACTACATAACTGCGGCTCCCAAAGATTTTAAGCAGTCGTCCTTAACATTTTACAGGGGCGCCGCCGCACCCCCCCCACCCCCCACCCCCACCCGCCCCCAAAACAACAAAAGGTGATTAAAAAGAGGACAAAAATAAAAATCCCACACTGTTACCAAGAACTTGCAGGAAAACATCCCTATAAAACAAGGTGTCAAATAACAAATTAAACAATTAACAACAACTGGTAATTTGGTGTGCAAATATCAATGTGATAGCTGGCACTGTTTTGTCTTGATGATATCTGCTATTTTGGGTCTGATATTGGACAAAGCACAGCAGAGATCACTTTCCGCATCAAGCTGGCAGCGCTGTTTTGTTTTCGTGACTGTCAAGGCTTAAAAACCAAGATTATTACAAGTACAAGGGCACTCACTCAATGTCACAACTAGTTGACGCCCCATAGAAACTGCCTCACAAACCCTAGGGTGGCTCGCCTCCCAGGGTGGAGATCGCTGATTGAAAGGAAGCCTGAAGTACGATGGTTGCCACAGTGCAGATTAGAGCGGTATAGATGACAGCGAGGTTGGTGCATGTCAGTGAGTCGACAGAGAGAGATAGCGAGAGAGGAGATGAGAGAGGGGGAAGAGAGAGAGAGGGGGGGAAAGAGAGAGGGGGAAAGAGAGAGGGGGGAAAGAGAGAGAAGGGAAAGAGAGGGGGGAAAGAGAGAGAGGGGGGAAAGAGAGAGAGGGGGGAAGAGAGAGGAGAGAGAGAGGGCGGAAAGAGAAAAGAGGGAAAGAGAGAGGGGGGGGGGAGAAAGAAAGGGGGAAGAGAGAGGGGTAAAGAGAGGGGGTGGAGAGAGAGAAGGGGGGAAATAGAGAGGGGGAGAGAGAGTGGATGGGGGAGAGAGGGTGAAGAGAGAGGAGCGAGGGAAAGAGAGAGACGAGAGAGGGGGGAGAGACAGAAAATCGTCTGATTGCTTCCCTCTTCATGTCTCTGTACGGCGTAACTACTGAGGTAAACGTTTCGTGAAACAATAACATGCTAGATCCGAGAAGAGGTCAGGAACCTCCTCTGGTGGGAAAACCCCAGACACAAACACCACCAGCGGCAGAAGAAGGAACAAAAAAAAAAGAGACGGCAAATGACAAACAGAACTGCAGAAACCGCACAAACTGAGCAACCCAGTAGTAAATTTCACGATAGGTTGAAATAGCCGAGTAACGAAGCCGATAATTTAAAGAATTCATTTCCAGTCCTTAGCGTTTGCGTTTGTCTACAATAAAGGCAGACGTCTTTTTTTCTTTTCTTTTCAAGGCGCCTGTGAAACGACAACAAGTCTAGAATAACAAACGAAATAAACAAATTCTTGAGCTCAAAAGTTAAACGCACCGTAACAACAAGAATATAAATTGAGACAGCTGAAACAAGAACAATGCCTCCTTTCTTTTGTGTGTTCCTTTCGTTTTTCCTATTTACATTTTTGACGTTTAATTATAGTAACGACCGTTCGAATGCCTTTGTGAACAATGTGAAACCAGGTTTTCTGCACGACTTCTTTTACTATTATTGTTTTCATTAGGAAAACTAATGTACAGAGAGCAGTAAAGCGACAGATTGGTTGGCAGGCAGGCAGACAGCGAGAAAGATAGACAGATAACATAGACAGACAAACAGAGCTGACTAAAAAGATAAAGAGATTACTAGGGTAGCTTTACATTATCATATATGTGAATGGAATGGATGGATGAGCAGATAGATACATGGATGGATGGACGGATAAATGGATGGATCGATGGACTGATGGATAAACAAATGGATAGATAGATAAATGAATGAATGGACTGACGGATGAGCCGACATAAATAAGTATAAAACAGGCGACAAGTGAAAATATTACTAGCTGCGAGATATTCTGCTGGTCTAGGAAATCAAAGCCAGGCTAAAGTATGAACACCACCATCAGCGATAGTCACATGATAGAAACCTTTCACTGCGCCCTTGCTGAACAATGACTATGAATCACTAATAATATTTCAATGCCATTTCACAGAAACTGGTGTTGTGTCTTAAGGACTAATCCCCTGGTTGGTTCGATGACGCGCGTCAGGATCTGATCTCCAGTTGCCTGCAGTTGCTTTCTTGAATCAGCAGATAATTATGCAACGGCCGAAGATAACACTGGCCAGTGAAAATGGTATACCTTCCTTGAAACCCAATACCATCGTTGACTAAACGACGCTTTCCAGGCAATAATTTTCGTGGCCCCAAAACTGCCAGTTGTTCATGTACGTCCTCTTAGTCAGGATATAATTGCGCATCCAATTATCTGTGGAAGTGTTTCCACTTCAAACTCCATAACTGATCGGATGACTAATGCAGACACCTTTCTACGGTAACCCTATCATTCTGCACGTCTTGCGTCAGAGTCAATGGACACTGGTCGCTTCAGCAGCGACGGTGTGTCTGGAAAAGACACCCCGTTAACAATTACAAACGGTGAAATTAAGTTCTACTGCAGGCAGATAGTTAATCGGATGAACGGTCTTCTCGCATGATGGCTGACAACCTGATTGTAGAAGACCGTTTATCATTTGACATGGCAATCAGGTGACGGACGCTTCTTTTCAAATATGGTCTCCGTGGTCTTCTGAAAAGCTCAAAATCTATGGCTGCCGGGCATGGTGGAAAACTAAGACGCATATCGTCCAACTCAATGGTCTTCTTCTTCTTCTTCTTCCTTCTTCTTCTTCTTCTTCTTCTTCTTCTTCCTTCTTCTTCTTCTTCTTCTTCTTCTTCTTCTTCTTCTTCTTCTTCTTCTTCTTCTTTGTTCTTCTTCTTTTTCTTCTTCTTCTTCTTCTTCTTCTTCTTCTTCTTCTTCTTCTTCTTTTCTTCTTCTTTTCTTCTTCTTCTTCTTCTTCTTCTTCTTCTTCTTCTTCTTCTTCTTCTTCTTCTTCTTCTTCTTCTTTAAGTTCACCGGCTGTAAACTTTAGCAGAAAGTTCTGATTGTTCGTCCACATCTGAACTTTGCTCTTGAACCAGAACTTGAGTTTTTGCATGCACATCTGTTTTATCGATGTGGCTTACCTGCACGCAGACTGTTGGTTCCTTGCCTCTGGCAGATCCACTTCGATGTTTTATCGATGTGGCTTACCTACACGCAGACTGTTGGTTCCTTGCCTCTGGCAGATCCACTTCGAATTCGAAGAAAACCACTACTTAGTCGACTTTTACGATATGCTTTTTAGGTAGACAATAGGTCTAATCTTTGTTTCCCACCACAATGGGACATCAGAACCCACACAGAGAACACTATATTTAGAGTGGGACGAATAGCAGTATTTTTACTTGTGTGTTTGTATGTGTGGGTGTGTAGGTGTGGGTGTGTGCGTGCGTGCCTGTTTTTTTTTTTTTATGTGTGGACGTCAGTGATATATTTATTATTCAACTCCTTTTTGTAGTTCTCTATAGCTACGACAGACTACTAAAATCCCATCAGTCCTTTTGCTCACGAGGTCCGTACCTTGCACAGTTCTGACATCCATAATGTACAACAGTAGTTCCAACGGACTGTGGAGCCAGTCAGACGACACACTGACTGAAGCGTCGCTGCTGAAACTTTAATAACATGTACACAGGAATCCGGCCGAATTAAGTCAGGCCTGGGTGACACATTTTCCTTTCTCCATCGGCTCCATGTGGGTCATAGGGAGGATATCAAGGCAATTTTACAAGCCTCCCTAGAACAAATCTGTGACTGGAGAGTTCAAAACCACTGTCACACCTTCTCAATGTTCTCACCAGCTTAACGAAGCTAACAGACTAACGTACAAAGATATAAAAATATCTTCCACTTTCTCTCTCTGTGTTTGTGTGTGTGTGTTTGATATATGATGGTGTGTGACTGTAATGCTCTCTCTCTCTCTCCTCTCTCTCTCTCCCACTCTAACTGTGTGTGTGTGTATGTGTGTGGGGTTAATATTTTGGAAACAAGATACGCATACAGCGGTTCTTTACAGTAAATGTGTTGTATTAATATTTTGATCTTACATTTAATTTAGTTATTTATTCCCTATCTCTGCTAATGTCCATCTCTTAATTACAACCCTTCCAGACACGGCAATACAGAGACAGACAG